TATATATATATATATAGTTACGTAATAACATGTATTTTTATGTGATTACTTATGTACGCTAAGACAACGATTGACTTACTTTATTGGTGATGCCATTTTTCTTTCATTCATCGCAAATCGAATTGCAAAGACCAATAACATGCAAATAACCAGGAAACAAAGACAGACAGCGGTAATGATGAGAATAATCTGTATTTTGCTAAGCCGCCAACTGGAATCGAAAGCAAGTGGTGGATTCTGAGAACTGTCAGTACGTGTTACTTTCAAAACTTGAGTGACGTGTGCAAAGTTATCTCCACTTCCGAAACCCATGGCATCTTCGTCATCTATTAGCAAGAAATGATGACGCCATAATAAAAATACTAATAATAATACTAAATAATAATAATAACAATAATAATAATAATAATAATAATAATAATATTATTATTATTATATTGATATTTTGTTTTAAAAATTCATCTTATCACTTGTTCAAGCGTGTATATATATATACACGCTCAAGTTCACCTTCGATTTAACAATCGCAAGCACTAAACACGTAAAACTTAAAAGGTTCTTTCTGTAAGCATTAACTTACCATTAACTTAAAACTAACACTTGGTATTAATTAGACTTCCAATGTTAATATATTTTTCTCCTAGTCATCATCATTTTTACTTCATTTGAATAATTTTCTATAAATAATTTCACATTGATGACATGCTATCTGTTGAATATTATTACTGTATAATATTATTTATGGTATATTGCTAATTGTTTATAGGCATATATATTTTTGTATGCCTGATATTTTGTTTTAAAAATTAATTTTATCACTTATTCCTTTAAGGCCGTTTTTTATAACAGAAATAATATCTTTGTGTGTATATTTATATAGTTTGTGTTAATATTATTGGCTCCATCAATGAAAGCCTCTTTTATGTTGGTATTTTGTTTAGTCCATTGTTTATTTGCATTTGACTTCTTGTAAATGGTCATAAGTATTTTGAATTATTTCAATGATTCGACAATCAGATTTCAGATGTTTTCATTTGTCTATGCTAAGTTTTTTTTTTTTTGTCTGCTTTCAATACATTTAAAGAGACCCATTCGCTGTTGAAATAATAATAGATTAATGTCCCCTTAGATTCACTAATCTGTACATTTCTATTCTGTAAAATTATTTTTATGGTGCCTTTGTGTGTGCAGCGGTCCACAACTATTAGACTAGGCCACACGTTGCCAGTTTATTGAACCACCACCACCACCATCATCATCATCATCATCATCATCATCATCATCATCATCATCATCATCATTATTATCATCTTCATTATCATTATCATGCAACAACATTACCATTATCGTCATTATTTAGGCATGTTATCTTCTTCTTCATATGTGTTTGATCTATTAATTCTTAGTGTTGCTTGATACAGCCTGGTGTCAACCGCAGTACCTTTATCCGATTCCAGAATAACCTATTAACAGCCTAAACACATTAAACAAGCAACAAGTGTTTCCTGTTTACCTTCTCTTTCTACGACGTCACACTCTTGTCTGCAATTAACCGCGCATGTAAAATCCAAATTGCATTTGCGCAGTTGATCGTTGTGCTTCATTCGTTCACATACGTCACCAACTGAAACAAGTACAGTTAATAAAATTAATTACATTTTAAAAATAATAAATTATTATTACCTACTGTTATTGTTGTTATTGTTGGGAAAGATTATGCATCGTGCTACACGATAGCTAAAAATATTAATGTTAATGTATGGAAACAACAACTACAGTCTCAGGGAAAATCCTGAAAGTCTGAGAGAAAATGTTAGATTTCAGAGAAAATAATCATCGTTGCTAACTATTGTTATTTTAACATTGATGTTGTTGTTGTTATTGTTATTATTATTATTATTATTATTATTATTATTATTATTATAAAATTTTGATTAACATTTAAAAGTACAGGAAATTGTATTATTTTGAAGATTAGCTCTACATTTATCTCCGTTTATAGGCATATAGATGCAGTTTCAAGACCAACAATGCAGCAAAAAGTATGAATTCAGACGGTGAATCGAGGAGGGCCGTTTTATACGCCCGACATACAAAAATCGTCCAAAAATCTTCTCCAACTCGGGGGTGGGGGGAGGGGTCTTCTTACAAGCGGGTCGCCTTATACGCAATTATATACGATATTTCACATTGGCCCAGTGTTGTGTTTTGGCCTTCATTTTATTGAAAAAATATATATTGAATGGTTAATAATTTTGTTCCTTTAAATATATCTTTTTATAATTTAATTTTTTCTCGCGGGCCAGAATAATTTGCTACGCTGGTCAAATTTGGCTTGTGACCCGCCTATTGAAAAACATGAGCTTAGCCATCTTTTGATAGCGATAGCTAAGCAAAGAATCAAACCAGTGGCGTAATGCCTATGCTCTCTCATGCGGCGGTCTACAGGGCCCTCGACACCCGAAGAAGCACCTACGCATAGGGTCCTTGATGTAGGACCCTTAGCCAAAAGGCGATGTTGATACATACCAGCATAATGTGTCTGACATCTCCTGTAGGACAGATATCAATTTATATCGAGTGGCGGGTTAAAGTGCCCCTATCCTATAGTATTGTGAAAATTTGCGTTCTGCAACCTGGGTGGGGTCCCTACCGCATATACTCGCGTATAAGACGAGGTTTAAAATAGTAAATTACGATCGAAAAACTAGGGGGTAGGGTCGTTTTATACGCGTGACAAATATTAGATTTTTGAAATTATGTTTGTCTAATGGGTGGATTGTCTGTAACATTATAAATTACTACTGCAATAAACCTATAGCGCTAAATGTTGGTATTAATGAACGCAATTTTAAGTACTGGTAAATAAAATTTTGATTAACATTTAAAAGCACATAAAATTGTATTATTTTGAAGATTAGCTCTACATTTATCTCCATTTATAGCCATATAGATGCAGTACCAATGCAATGCATTGTAGTATCAATGCAATGCAGCGTAACGCCTATGCTCTCTCATGCGGCGGTCTGCAGGGCCCTCGACACACGAAAAAGCACCTACACATAGGGTCCTCGGTGTATAGGACCCTGAGCCAAAAGGCGATGTTGATACATACCAGCATAATGTGTCTCTGACATCTCCTGTAGTTCAGATATTAAATTATATCCAGTGGTGGATTAAAGTGCCCCTATTCTACATTATTGTCAAAATGTGCGATCTGCAACCTATGTATTGCAACCCAATGTTTAGGTAGCGAAAAGTGTCGATGGTTCGTATAATCTTTTCAGATTGTGGAAGACTTAATATGATCGACGATAAATGAAATCAAATTACAGTAAACAAACGTGCATTAAAGTGCGGCATATGCGTTAATTTACTTTTTTAGGTTCATGTTCAATAATATACTATCAAAATATTGGTAATTCAGGTATATGACAACTTTAGTTTTGTTCATTTCTATGTGTTTGAATTTTAAAGTTTTATAAAATGTGTATAATTATTTCAATAACCCATAGGCTCTATATTCCTGGCAGCAATTTTATTTTGTAGTAAAAAGTCTGTAAATCAATAATTATTTTCGATGTGATTCTATTAGTAATTCAAAGTTATATTAATTTCATTTTTAGTAAATTTAGATTTATTTTGTGTTGGGTTATATAAAGAGGCTTTTATGAATGAAGTGGTATCTTATAATTGGCTGACAAAGAACCAAGTTGGCATGGTTCTTCTGATCTCAGTTATCCATCGCACATCAAAAACAACGGAAGTGATTTCAGTTAGACAAAATAAGGGCCATCAGTCTCAGGAGGTTACAGGACCCCCGGCTCAATACCGTGCCGAGCTATTGGGACAATTGGGACAGTCCCATACAATTTTTCTAATGGATCCATAAAGAATGGGTCCACATTTTTTGAAATGATTCCAAATTATGCAGTTTATGCATAATGAGTCTTTTTTTTTTTTAAATTCGGTCCATATTTTGCCTAAACTGGGTAAACGTTTAAAAAATGGGTTCAGATTGTTCATATTTTTGCGTAAAATAAATGGGTCAACATTTAAGAAAATGGGTCCACATTATTTGAATTTACGCGTAAAGTGGGTCCACCCTGATATTGTCCCGCACTGGTTAAAAATCCTGGCTACGGCATTGCCCCCAAGGACAAAGATATTAAACAGTAATTAAAAAGCAGATTATTTAGCTGGTTAAAAATTTATTACTATATCTGAGGTCGAGACATACAAATATTTAGGGCATACCATGTCTAGAAACAGGTCAGACCATAACCATATAAAAGAAGTTAAGAAGGGTATCAAAATAGAGGATAAATTCAGTCAATACTTAACAAACAGGATAACTATAACAGAGTATACACAGTGATATACTATGGAAATTCCTGGGTTTGCCCTCCATCAATACGCGTGTTCAACCTGGGCAGGGAGCTCTACGGATATTAACCATTGAAAAATTACAAATTCAGATGGCAAGGCATTCTTCTTGTCCCCTGTACATCTAGTCAAGAGGCAGTTTACGCAGATCTAGGATGGCATTAACTGGAAGCCATCCAAAATTGCCAACGTGTAAAATTTCTAAGTAGGCTAAAAAACTTTAATACAGATCGCTGGCTTCACTTAGCATTGAATGAAATGGTAGCTTTAAGTGAAACCAAACAAATTAAGTGTACATGGTTCAATTGATAATTTCATATCTGTCAATATATAATTGATTTTATATTTGTTTAGTTTTCAAGGACGGATCCAGAAGTTTTTGTTAGGGGGGGGGGGGCCTATAGGTATATGTGTAAAGTGCCTCCAAGTGCCTGCGGAGGCTATTTACAAAACAATTAAGAGCAGTTGTCTGTAAAAATCAAAGAAATTTCAAAAATAGTGGCAGACTAAAAAAAATTGATTTCTTTCAAATTTTGCACATGGCTATACCTTTGTTAAGAGAAATCAAATATGAAGTTTTATTCCATGGCAACATAATGGCAGCATATTTCCATGGCAACCGGTAAATTTGTATTTTTGGCAATTTTTGTCATTTTTTGCTTTTTTTAAAAGTTAATATTAGTAATAATTTGATACAATATTTCTAATATCCTTATTGTTTATTTATCAAAAATAATGAGTGTGTGTATATGGTCAGTACATTGGGTATCTGTTGCATATCTTTACATGTTTTTTTGGATTTCGTAGTTGGGAGATACTTTTTTAAAAGGGGTGTTTTTCTTTTTTTTCAAATTATGAAAAACTTCCAAATTTTAATTGCTTATAAACCTCAAAGTGGTGCTTTTTTAAAACTGATTTTCTACAAATAGGCAGTTCTAATGCTCTCTTAAGCCTGGTTCACGTCAAACTTTATCTAGATATATTCGTCTTGGAACATGATACGATAATCCCCTAATTGCGTTCGATGCCATGTTAGAGCCAGATAAACAGCCAGCCAGTTTCAGGCCGTCGACGTCACACAGTAGAAAGGCTTATTTAATAAAACATCTACTGTATTTTACGAACCTCTAGTACCAAGTGGTATTCGTTAAAAAAAATTGTAAACTACTGTAGAGAAGGTGTGAGTTTCCACTACCTTATAACCTAGCCGACCATTACGAACCAACCGACAGTGCAGCAGCGTGTTCTATCGCAATCTAAGTAGTAGATTCTCTAGGCCCTAGCTAAATTTACCTTCGATAAAAAACGAATTATTTTAATCGCTAGCATTCTTCCATTTAACAAAATATAGTTTTAATTCTCATTAAAACGTCTGTATACTTTATGGACCTTTCTGTCATGTTTTGTAGTTTTTAGATCGCTCAATTGTGTTGTTTACATGCACTTCGCGAAAATCTATCTTCGCGGTGTCAAATAAGTTGCTGACTTCAACACACTTATTTATTTCGTCCTCGTAAACATGTGCGCTCATTTTTAACGACTGGTTGTTGGTGGTAGTTCGTTGAAACTGAATTAATAGTGACTATTATAGCAGAAATGGAAAATTGAATTGTCAATAAATAAATAAATACAACAAATCTGATTTTATTATTAAGAATAATATACATTATCAAGCCCGTAGCCAGGTGGGAGGGGGGTTCGTTGGGTTCGAACGAACCCCCCTTTTCATGAAGTGCCCTTTCAACAAAGGCTGGCTGCCTCATCATTAATAGTCCTATTTTAATACCTGATTGCTAGGCCTACCTAGTAACATAAAAAAAAATCAAGCCCCAAAACATTGACTCAGAAATACCGGGATGGTGTCCGGCGGGGGATAGTTTCACCTGTGTGTGTGTATATATATATAGATATGATTATAATACGCTACAACTAACCATACAAATTTGTCTTGGTTCTTTTTGTTATTGATTGTCTTAAGTGAGTATAGTATGATACAACTTCCAAAGTGCTATATAATTTTTTTTTTAATAAAGAATAAACCATACTGGATTCTTTGGAGTTTGTATCATGCTACTGTTGTTAAATTACCAATACCGTAGTACTAAAGTAGTAGTTTTCCCCTACCAAAATCCTGGCTACGGTTCCGAAATTTTCATAATACTTTCACTCATTTTGATAATTATTATAATAGTATTTAAAAGCACCAAAAAAAATTTCGACCGTCAGAACTTCTGCAAATACGAGAAAATGACGTTTAAACTTACGAAATTGAAAGTTCTTTGCGCTAGATTAGCACACGACATTTTGTAAACGTCACTGTACTCGTTCGAAAATTGTATTTTTGATACGTAGTTTATTATTTGCGAACTTCGTATTACTGCTTTAAAAACCAATTTAAAAATTATAATTCGATATAGTTTGTATTTTTATTACAGAAAAATATTTTTTAGTCTACTATTAAATGGATTTTTTAACAATAACTTCACGTGTTGTGGTACAGCCAACAACAGTAAACAACAACACGGCTACTAGCGGCGGACAATGTGCGGGTGTTGTAATAAAGTGTTGTTTTCACCGCGAAGAAATCGCTAATGAAACTCCAATTCTAGTTACAGCACCAGATTCTTGAAGATTGTTACTTGTATCAAATTATGGATAGTTTTTAGACAGTCATAACCGAACTATAGCTGACAAACTTGTGTCGGAACTAGGATATGCCTCTTGGATGAGGGAAAGACATACGAGGATTATGTGATAAGACAACATCCTTATTTTGGCTTCCACCCTGTTTGCTATCGTCGTTACATCGACACGAAATCGATAGCAATGATAAGTTATCATTATCAAGTGTAGTGTAGTCCCGTCAGTACCTTACCCAGACACATTGTACAATATATTAAAAATATTCTTTAAAAAAAAAGTGCTGACTGTGCAGGTCCTACCCCACTTAGCTTCGTGAGTGGATTTCCCGTACGATTGAAAATCGTAACGGTACTGGGTTTGGTCTACAGGAGTTCGTGCTTCGAACAGGTCGTTCCATTCATAGAAAAAGCCTTTTGATGAAGAAAGTGTACCTTTTTAGCAAAGGTTTGCCTAGGTTGAAACTAACCCCGGCTATATAAAATTGATAAAAATATAAGATTGAAAAATATTAATCTTGTTATTGTAGTAGTGATAGATACTATGTACACATTCAATTATTGTTATTTATTCGTTAATGTCATTATATTTACATTTAAATTAATATATTGTATGAATGAAGTATGAATTATTATGTTCATGTAAAAATTAATCTTATCAAATAAAATTGTATATTTTAAATAATATAATAGGCATAGTTTAATGGAGGTCATCAAATGCGGTTGTAAGACCAGGTGCAATCAAGGCAGATGTCAGTGCAATAAAATGAACATGAAATGCTCCGATCTTTGTCAATGTACAAACTGTCAGAACAGAGATGATAAAGACACCATGAATGAAGATGCTCAATTTGCAGATGATGAATACCTAGACGAAATTTACATAGATTATTATGCATAATATAGAAAATTTAAAAAAAGGTAACGTAACCATGGGACCCTT